GTCTGTGATGTCAGATGATGACAGTAAACAGTTAATCAAGATGTTAAAAACTAGTCAGTTTGCAGTACGGTTGGATGACTCAACTGGTGCTGCAACTTGTTTGAGACTTCTGATTTATGTGTGTTTTGATCATCCTGTCAGTGTCATTATTGAGGAAGAGTTTTTACTGAGTGAAGAGCTGCCTACTTGAACCATTGCAGAAGCAATTTTCTAAGTGCGTGAGAAGCTTATGACTAAAAATGGTTTGGACTGGTTTAACGTTGTTGGTGTTAGCCACTGATGGAGCAGCAGTAGCAATGACCGGACAATATTCAGGGTTAGTACGGTGAGCAAATTGTCTGTCAGATCACTGCTTCTTACATTGTAAAGCATTTTAAAGAGTAGCAAGGGAGGAGTAAAAGGTTAGCCCATGAGACTGGCCATTCACATAATGACAAACCATGGTTTGCTGTTGTATCTGAACTATGCTGCTGTGACACATTTAGACATTCTGAGATCCATGGTTTGCTGTTGTATCTGAACTATGATGCTGTGACACATTTAGACATTCTTACAGGAATTTGTTTAGAGAGTCACCAGTCAGAGTTTGGCTTGAAACAGGTGCGTGATACTCGGCCACATAATAAAACCACTCTAGTTTCCTTGGCCAAATGGAGCCAATATGGTGAATGAGAAATACTCAAATCAAGCAGCTGTGAAGCATCCTTTGACAGCCACACCTTTTTAGGTGTAACAGAATAATAGTTTCCAGCAATACTTCCACCTGAGCAGAGTCCTGGACTGCAGCAAGGTGTACTAATGTCAGCAATATATAATTAATACACATTGTAATAGGGATGTGGCCAGATTGCAGTCTTCTTAAAAGGTGTATTTTGCTGACACTGAGCTACAGGCATAGATTTCTTTGTGGTACTTATTGTGATATAGACACACAGGTTTACTCAGTAACAAGCACTTTTAGAAGTACAGGTCCTGGTGGTATTTACAGTCCACTGCAGATTTTTTAGCTTGTACAAAAGGAAATGCAGGGCAAGATCTCATATAAATTGGAACAATGAACACTGCTAAAAGCTTTTCTCCCACAATAGAATTACCATCTGTCTCAGAATTGTGTGCAGGCTGCCAAGGTTGGTAAGCATGAAATCCAGCAGAGGTCAGCAGGTTAGAAAAGTACAAGATAATGAGAAAATTGATACAAATATGTGAGCAGTATGTGAGGTCTCTCACTGTTAACTATCCTGAAGGTTCTGGTGGCTGGTGATTTAAATGCACGACTATGACCGGATGACTTTTCTTTGGCAACAAAATATAAGATGACTTCGGAAGAGGGCAGGGGACATATTTATCAACCGCAAAGATCCAAATATAAGAATTCTAATTATGGAGGGGGTTTGTTAACAAAGTTTGTGTCCAGTTTAAGCATGTTTATCTTAAATGGTTGGATCAGAGCAGACATCCTGGGTGAATTTACATTTATGGCTGGGACGAGAACCAGTACAGCCGATTATATGATAGTCGATAGAGCTTTGCTTTCACAGGTGGCTAGCTTTCAAATTCTTACTTACCTTGAGGGAGACCACTTTCCATTACTTTTGCAGACCTGTTTAGGTACTGAAATACTACAATCCACATATTCTATAAATTATCCCTTGTTGGAATGATATGGCCGTCAGGTGAGATGAGATGGTCCCCTACGTTAGAACTAAAGACAAAGGAAGTTCTGACAGCTGAAAATCTGCAGTTGCTCTGTCAAGTATCTAAGGTTGACTTAGATGCAGACAACCCTCTAAAAATGTATGACGATCTGGTACAGAGATTGAGGAAGTTTTTGATTTGCCCTTCGAAAGGAAAACTGGCCAAGGTCAACATTCTGTCAAAAACATGGTTTGGCCAAAGTTGTATCCATGCAAAAAAGGTTTTAATTCAGGCCTACAAGGTAGCGTGGAGAGCTGGCAATGAGACTAGACAGGAAGCATATAATTTCCTTTCGGTACAAAAAAAGAGTACAAACTATTGGTCTCCCGCTGTAAGAAACAATATACTAGAAAACTGGGCGGATCTAATTGCTGCAGCTAAGTCCAAAGCTACAACCCGATTTTGGAACTTGGTAAACAACAGTAACACCAAAGCTACTTCCCCTCTGTTCTCATGCATCTCTCCTGCTAGATGGACTTCCTTTTTTCAAAAAAATGTGTGAAGACTTTATACAAACCCCTCATGATTTATTAACAAATAATTTGACAACCTGGCCTCCTGTCTCTGCCAAAGAGGTAAAAGCCCATATTTGTAAATTAAAGAATTTCAAAGCTCCACGTCCCAATGGTATCCCTTCAGAATTACTTAAAGCAAATATAGACTGGTGGGCTACGTTTTTAGCCCATCTATTCACAAACATTGACAGAACTGGCCATATCCCAAGGGATTGGGGTATGACCATAGTAGTTCCCCTCTATAGGAAGGGAAAGAAAGAGGAGCCATCTAACTACAGACCGATCAGTCTTCTGAGCAGAGTAAGCAAGGTATATACTGAACATCTGTTAGAGAAATTTTTAGACTGGCTAAAGAGTGAAGAGATAATTGCAGACGAACAAGCAGGTTTTAGAGCTGGGAGGTCAATGTTAGATCACTGCTTAATGATGCAACTTCTAATTGAGAAATATGCTTCCGGGGGTCAAACATCTCTCTACGCAGCGTTTGTGGATCTAAAGGCTGCCTTTGATCAGTTAACAGAACTCGCCTGTGGGAAAAATTACAGGCCTCCTCCATTGAGAGGCGATTACAGTTTCTTATAAGGGCCATTCATGCGCAAACAGTTCTCAGAGTGAGGTGTAGCCGAAACAGGCATTTGACTGAACCCGTCTAAACATTTAAGGAGGTTTGGCAGGGTTGCCTTTTAGCCCCTATTTGTTTATTATATAATATGGATGGCTGTAATTAATGTTTCTATGCTCAAATCAGAGTCTGTTTTATCATATAAAGATAGTCGTTGTGTAATCTAGACAGATTTATTTAAAATAGCAAATTGGCATATTCAAGTTTTGCTATACACAGATGATGCCGTACTACTTTCCAGAACCTCAGTCGGGCTGAGACGAGTGCTAAAACTTTTTGCTGCCTATTGTGAGGCCGAATATCTCACGATTAACTATCAGAAGACCAAAGTCTTGGCTTTTGGGAAGAATCCAAAGATTAGACATTGGGAGCTCCAAGGTCATAGGTTAGAACAAGTCACTAGTTTTAAATATCTGGGAGTAGTCCTGCAAGCTTCTGGAGTGAGAACAATTCATAATAAAGCTGCAGCTGACACAGGAGAAAAAACAGCAAAGAGCATAGTTAAATTCTGTCAATCACAAGGAGGGCACTATGTACCGGCTGCTCTTAGACTGTTTTACTATACGGAACAATTTTAGGGCCCCCATCCTCTTCCTTCTCTCCACTTGAGAGAGTGCAGTCCAAATTCTTAAGGGCAATACTGCAAGTACCCAAATGTGTACAAACTCCTGAGTTAGACTAGAGACTGGAATGATTCAGGTCAAAGCAAGAATCCATTGATAGGCGATTACTGTTTCTTATAAGGGCCATTCATGCGCAAACAGCTCTTAGAGTGAGGTATAGCTGATAGAGGCATTTGACTGAACCCGTCCAAACATTTAAGCAGACTAGGCAGGGCTGCCTTTTAGCCCCCTATTTGTTTATTATATTAATGATCTGATAGATTTTTTAAACTATCCCAGATTCCACCCTCCTAAAATAGCAAATTGGAATATTCAAGTTTTGCTATATGCAGATGATGCCATACTACTTTCTGGAACCCCAATCTAGTTGGCAGAAAGCGGATTTGGAAACCATTGGAAAACTTGGCTTATCTTCCCAAGTATTTTTGAACTGTGGGTTAGACTAAGCCAAATCACTTATTAAACAAAGAGTGACAGATATAGAAAGACAAATGGATACTCATAGAACACCAGGTTTTATCTCTACTCCAAATTCTAGATTTGTTGCTGTTCCTCTTCCATATCTATATTTTCTTGAATCAAATAATTCCAGAAGGGCTTTTACATTGGCAAGAAGTTCAACTTTACCTTCTGCTGTTCTGGAAGGGAGGTTTAAATCAGTCCCCTATGAGCATAGGATCTGTTCTTGCTTTTTAAAGGAAATTGATTCAGTGGAACATATTTTCTTTAATTGCTCTAGGCACAGAGAAATCTGGCCGAAACTTATTGAGCCGCTGATTGGAAAGTTCCCTGGCAGATCAAATACGTAAAATTAAACTTGATTATCTTCTGTCTGATATGAACCATGAAACAACCTGAATAGTGGCTAAGTTTTGCTCACAGGTGTATAAAGAACGGAAAGCACATACAGTAGCCTGAGTGAATTTTTAATGCTGTGAAATTGATTTTATGTAAACTTGTGTATGCTGGTCACTGACTGAGCCGGCCGTGGCAGAAATCAAATCTTGATTTGATACAAAAATGTAAACTAAGTATGATTTGTCCCCTCAGCATGTGGTCTGTTCGTTTCATTTGGAAGAATTAAGCAGATATTTATTTCCCATTGAATAAATATGAAAGTGTTTAATTTTGATCTGACCATGTTCTCTTTTATTAGCTAAGCAATGCTAAAATGAAATATAACTTATTTTTTGTGCATAGCATTGAAAATAAGTTGCTCAGTTTGCACAAAGATTGCACTAATAATATACGGAATGTCATTAACAGCCAAGTCTACCCTTGAACACAGCAAGTATTCTTGGCCTGGTCTCACATGGGGAAAGTCACCATCTTAAATGTAAGTGCAACCACAGTGTTTCTGTACTGACTTTTACAGTTTTTGGTAGAGGTTTTGCACTGATGGTTCAGTTCTAAGAAATATCCCCCTCCTCCCAATGGCATGTTACTGTTAGGTGTCAGACACAAGATTAAATAACTGAAAATCTTTGCAACTGTTTATTCAGAAAAATGAATGGAATGGACACCCACAGTGAAGCAGCTGATGGGTTAAGGGCTTTGCTCAGATCCCATTTTGGTCTAAATTCTGTTCTCCTGAGCTGCATGGTATCTGTCTCGCTTTGCAACAGAATTGATTACTTGGTGGGGCTTTAGTGTTTGTAGGCACTCCCTCTTCTACAGTAACTACTACTGCAATGATCAGTGTCTCCTTACTTGTCTCAGTTCCCTTTCCACTTAACACCTCACTTGTGGGCCTTCTTGTTGACAATTTAGACTCCCAGCAATTAGAATGTATAGGAACATTTGAAGGGGCAGCTTGCTTAAAAAACAATTGGAGCAAAAAGCCAGGGAAGTTTCAAAGAATACAATGCGTGCTTCAGATGTATTCTTTTTTTTTTAAACCTACTTTTCTAAAAATCTATCATATTCTGCACTATAACAGGATGCCTCATTCAAAGCTGCAGAATGAGGTAAGTGCCCTAAGAGCTTTGGCAATGGTGTCACTATTACAAATTAGGCAGAGACGCCTAAATCCAGATACAAGAGTTCATCGAAAATCGGCATATAAAATTGTTGGAAAACACTCTCCATAACCAATACTTGTATGAAGAACTCATTTTGTCACATTCTAATAAAATATTAAACACTGGCATTATGGTATATTGCTAGGGAAGTACAGACAAGAATTACTGCTCCTGTTCAGCATATAAATTGAATAAGTGAATTTAGAAACATTCACTATTGCACGTTTAGAAAAAGCATCAAACCTTCAATATTTTAATTGACACTGTCACTCTTGAAGTGAAGTAATTCTTAAGTTACTAGGTTGTCATGATAAACTTTCATCTGATCTGGTTTTGGAAATGTAGTAGCTGATGGCTATTGCTTTTCAAAACAGGCTTTTCTACCATAAGGACTGCTAACATGTCAGCAGCTGACTTATGTCCAGTGCTTTAGATGGGAATGGCTGAAGGAGAAAAAAGTGTCTGTTCCAGAGCAATGAAGCAGCAGTTCAAATGCTCTTTTGTGATTCTTATCTTCTGACGAAATTCACAAATTCAAGGAGTGGCATCCATTCAGCACTCACTGGAATCAGGTCTCCATCTTGAGTCGTGATGCTTGTACAGTTTTTATTGTCTTTGTGCTATGCTTTCCATCCAGGTTGTTAATGGATGTGTGTGCCTTGTCTTCTATCAAGCTGTCTTTAGACCCGTTTCTCTTCTGAAGGGAATAAATAAAACAATTCTTAATGTAGAATTGAACAGGAATTAATTCCTGTTCTTTGTTTCAATCCTGACAGTCCTGCTAATATACTAATGAATTTGAGAACAGTTGCAGACTTTAGCTAATGAATGAATGGCTGAGTTTACGTCTCAAGACAGAGTGAACTGCTAAACCATTAAAAATAACTTTTTTGCATCTAGCCTAATAGGGATATTTAAAATTGTTTATTGGCATGACCATTCGATAATGAAATCTTATTTTATCTTATTTTAAAAAGAGTATTCATATCAATCATAATAAGCCTAGAAAACGGGTCCCAAGCTTACTAAGCCTGTGGGTACTAGAGAAATTTTTAGAAAGGGTGGTGGGTATCACCACAAAATGGCTACCATGTAGTAAAAAGGAAGCAAACCGCAGATTTTTTTTTTTACTTTGGCAATGCGCAGAGAACAATGGTAGTTTGAGATGGAATTTTGCTTAGTTTTTTACCAGTTGTTTAATAACATCAGTTAAATGATTCAACTTGCAAGCCACAGTATAGATACATCTACAACAGCTAGTTAGGTTCACATTTACATCTGTAAACACTGCTTTGTTGCCAAATATTGACAATGAATTTAGTGAAATTCCCTATCTGAGTTGTCATGTTCTGTTAAGACCCTACTAATGCTTATTGGTTTTTCAAAACACAAGAAAACCAATATAATGCAACATAGGATTGTATACGATATGTTGTTCAGAATTTAAAATTACATTCTGGTATATTATGAATCCCTCCCCACCCCAGTGAGGCTTTTAGAAATGGCACTGCACAATAGGCCCAATAAAAATGAAATTCAGAAATATTTTTGAAAATATTTGCTTTAGACCACAATTAAAAACACTCCAATACCAACCTGGTGAGATACTGAGATGGTGGAGTACTGAGCATCTGAAGAGCGAGTTACAGGTAATGGAGGCACAAGGTCCATTTTAGAGCTGGAAAAAGAGAACAAGCTGCAAGATGTTTGGTGTTTATGGAGTAAAAGGGGGTTCTGGCTGGAAAAGTCACCTGCATAAGAATACAATAATACCTCCTATAAAGCTGCTTTGTATAAAGTTGTTTCATCACAGCACTCTAACCTGGGTGTAATTTTTTTTAAAAAAACGTGAGTAAAGGGGGCAAGGCAGAAGCTCCACAGGATGATCATCCAAAAATACAGTGCGGCCAAAAGGTGATGTGGCTCTGCCAGGGGCAGTACGGCAGCCTCCCAAATGGTCACAGAAGAGCTGGACAGCTGAGTAACAAGGCTTCAGTAGGAGCTGCAGCAGTCCAGGCAGGAGTCTCAGCATGAAAAGCAACCCAGAGGTGCCAGCACATGAGCCCAGGAGAGGCAGTCAGCTGGTGATTGCCACCTCCACCAGATGCTGTCTCCTGTGTGAACATACCTCCATTAGAACCACTGGTATCAATGCCTCTTACGGAGTTACATAATAGTAAAAGGCCCAGTAGCTTTTTACTATTTTGCAGCAACAGACTAACACAGCTAACTCCTCTGGATCTTACAGAGCTGTTTCACAAAGCTGCTTTCAGGAACCTAACCACAGTATTAAAGGAGGTATTACAGAAGAGCATTCTGATGAGGCATTCATTTAGAGTAAATTTCACAGGTTAGCAGTTCTATGTTTTCTAACTGATCAAAGCCTATACAGTGAAACAAGTCTAAACATTCATCATTACATTACCAAGTATGTATAGAACTTGGAGTAGTATTTCAGTTTGTTTGTAGCACGCAGCTGAATAAACCCTTTCTATAGTATTGGTAAGACAGTGACATGTGAAAGCCCTGGAGGAATGTAGTAGGGGTGGGGGAGACCTTTAGGAACACAGATACACTGTAGGAGCAAGGACGCACATTAATGTATAAAATCAGAAGTCTAGGTAACATATGATTAAATGCTGTTCTCTTTCCACTGAAATAATTTTATGCAACTATACCTTACCAGGAGATGCACCATACGTGCTGTGGTCCACAGACACCCACTCCCAATTTTGTGACTCAGCAGGGACTTCCTGATTGGCTGAAACTCTGAGTCAATTAAGTGGCACCACAAGATATGGGTGGTAAGTCTCAGGCAGGCTGCCAAGAGCTGCTGAAATCCAGGGCATTTTTCTTTTTAAAATGCTAACAACAAAGTATGAAACAGGGTTCTTAACAGTGAAACTAAGTGGCGATTGAAGGACAAAAAAAACATCTCTCTTTCCTGCCCAACCTCAAGACAGGCTACAATTTATCTACAGAAGATGGTCATCTTCACCTTATCTGATTGAACGCTACGTTCATCCCAAACCCTGTAGTGGCACACTAACTTCCAAGTGGGTGTTGATTCTGGCCCAAGCAACTGTGAGTTGTACACTATGCATCAACATTATCTCTAATAAGACTCTTTGAGAACAATACAAGGACATTCCAACATCCTATCGCTTAGTGGCATAGATTTCCCTTTACATCATTACCGAACAAAATATGAGAGGTCACCTATGGTGGAAATTGACCTTTTTCTTGAGGAGTTTGACAGACCATTCTAAATGTGGTGTTCTCATATAACACAGTTTCTTTTTGAAACACAAGCACTATCCTTTCTCAGTAACAGGAGAGCATGTACAGTAGCTGTTTATGCTTTGCTTATTTCCACAAAATTTGGGGTAGAAGACCCACAATTTCTGTACCCCCAATGCACCCTAAACAGTGTATCACTTGTGCCAGTCCAGAAGGTGAGGGGCCTGGGGGCGGTCCTGGATGCCTCGCTTCCTATGGAGGCCCAGGTTGCCACGGTTTCCAGGTTTGCCTTTTATCATCTTTTGCAGATCAGGCAGCTGGCTCCCTACCTCTCCCCCCAGGGCTTGACTACAGTGACCCATGCAATGGTCACTTTCAGGCTTGATTACTGAAACTCACTTTACACTGGCTTGCCCTTGCGGCTGATCCCGGAACTCCAGCTAGTACAAAATGTGCGGTGTGCCTGCTGACGGTATCGCCGGTGCGGGCACACATTCAGCCAGTGCTACGTCAGGTGTACTGGCTACCGATTGAGTATCGGATCCATTTCAAGGTACTGGTATTTAAAGCCTTGCATGGCCTGGGACTGACATACCTGATGGACTGATTCTCCTCATATGTGCCCTGGAGAGCCTTGCCCTCTGCCGATCCAAGCTCTGCTGGTTGTCCCTGGCCCAAGGAATGTCCACTTAGCCTCAACCAGGGCCAGGGCTTTTTCTGCCCCAGCTACGACCTGGTGGAACATGCTCCTGTTTGAGATCAGTGTCCTATGCAATGTTCCCTCTAAGCTGTGGAGTCTTGTGAGCAAAAAGTCTACTTTGTGAGCTGCTGGCATTAAAGTTGTGAGCGAGCCACTTGGCTACTGCATGCATTAGTTTGCTTTGGAGCCATCCTTCCTGAGCTAAGACAAAAATGTGTGAGCTGTAGGCTAAAAAACTGTGAGCTAGCTCACACTAACTCAGCTTAGAGGGAACACTGCCTGTGGGACTTATTACCATTCCACAGGGCCTGTAAAATGGAACTGTTCCACCAGGCCTTTGGCTGAGGTGGCAGGCATCCAATAAAAACCTGGCCTCCCATGCTGAAATTCACCACCTCTACGTGGCCCAGACTAAGAAGATCTTAGAGACTTAAAGGCACCAGCTTGGAAACTTTGCACATAGACAAATAGTGCAACCTGTTTAATTTATGTTGTTTTAAATTGTTTTAAATTATTCTGTAAGATTGTATTTGATGTGTTTTAGAATCTACTTTGTGATTCACCCTGAGCCTGCTTGCAAGGAGGGTGGAATACAAATTGAAACAAACAAACAAATATTTGAAGAGAAAGCTATTCTCTGTTTTTAAAAAGGTCTCTGCCTAAAAAAGGGACCAGCCACCTCAGGGCCCCCCCCCCCCCACCTTTTCCACAGTGGGAAATGTCTAATGTCTATTTTCTGGAAGCTACATGCGAAGATACCAATTTGGGGAGTGGTGTAAAAGTAACTGACAACTATTTCACATTACCTCCCTCAAGGAGCTTCACAATCCTGATAAGAAGGAAGAGGTAATTGTTTTCATATACTGTCCTTTCCTCTAACAGGAAAACGTCTCGTTTTCTGCTTCTGGAAATACAGGGAGGTCTAATCTTGTCAGTAAAAATATAACTTCTTCTTTATACAGCACTTGGTGAAATAGGGGGAGGGGACTGAAGTCAAGGTGCCAGTCATTGGACTTTTCCACTCAACTTTTTCCTGAGGAGTCAGCCAGAGAACGGAAAATTTGTGAACAAGATGTTGCCCAGTAGTTACATACAGTATGTGATCCTAAATGTGTGTGGAGGGAGGAGGAGCACTTCTTTATTATGACACTATGCCTCATTAATGACCAAATACTTAACATACTTCACTTCTGAAAGAACGGATCTCTCTCCATCAGAACACTGGGACCGTCGAGACTGACGATAGCTCCGAGGAGAATGGGAGTGCCTAATGCGAACAGGGTCACCTTGAGTCCTAAAGGAAAAATAACAGTTTTTACAGCAAAAAGTTTGAGTCCAATGGCACCTTTAAGACCAACAAAGTTGGGGAGTGGCTACAACCAACTTCCGGGTTAGCAGCCGGTGTCCAGAGCTTGCCGCCTGGCTGCTCAAATGTGATTATTTTTACTCTTCCCAAAGCAAATAAACACATTGTGAATGATGGCACCTAAAGCTGGCAAGAAGGGGAAAAACAAGCAGGTAAGTGGGCTACGTCTAACAGAGTTCTTTTCAGCTACAGACGCTCCTCCCACCTCGACCGCAATGCTGAGAAGGGGTGAACAAATGACTGAAGAGACCCCACTCACTGCAAATTTTCTGATGCATGCATTAACTAAACAGCGTCAGTAGTTGAGAAACGATGTCACAGAAATGCTCAAGCCAGCATTCCAACGCATGGACGAATTAGAAGAGCTCCAAAAGCAAACAAACCATAAAGCAGATATGGCTCTTCTTAAAGCTACAAAGCTTGAAAGGCAATTATCTAGGAAAACTGCAGATGCCTGGGCCAGGGAGAGTATCCTGTCTCTGGATCATCGCAGTCGTGAGCTTTCTTTGAAGTTCAGGGGGTTTGGAGCAA